CGCCGGGACGCCCGCCTTCCCGAAGGACGGGGAAGGGGACGGTCGCTCTGCGTGCAGGCACCTTCTGCCCGCTTCCTCTACGGCTGATACTCCTTAAATTAAAGCAAAATAGCGAGCAAATTTGAATTTTGTCCCGTATTGCCTACGGCTGCTACTCCCCCGCGAAGAGAGCCGTCCTGCCCCCCGCCACAGCGACTGGGAGCACCGCTGGGCAGGCTGTGTGCCTTCACCCACATATTTCTCAAGACTACAATGGTTTTTAACCCTTTGATAACAACAACCACCAGCACTGTACTCTGTTTTACCTTGTCTGCGATCAGCTGCAATTCCCTTTTTTAATAGGCTCTCCTTGCTTTGTACAATGCAATAGCGTCCACGGCACTACCTTGTCGCCACTCCTTCTCATCTGGTTTTTAAGAATCAATGCCTGATCTGTTTTGGTCATAAGCAAAATATATGAGAATTTACCCCCTGTATTTCATGCACACTTAGCACAACTTCCCCACACAGGATCCAAGCAATTTGTTCATGTTCTTTATTGTTATTACACATACTTTGTTAATTTTCAGCATACTTACATGCTATGTTCTTATACTTACCCTTAAACAAACATACAACGATTGAACTGCTTTTTTTCTATCACAAGTTAAACAAAATTAAACAATCAAGAGCTATCATCTTCGCTTGCCTAAAGCTGCCTTAAGGAAACCTGTTTCTCAGGGAAACTGAATAAATTAAAGTTGCATTTCTGGCAAGAGGTCTGCATGACCAGGCATGCCAGGTGACATACTGGGGGGAGGAAAAAACCAACCACCCCCCCCCCCCCCCCCCAACTCCTCAAATGAGCAAACAAAAAAACCTAAAAACCCACAAAGAAACCTACACAAAGGCATTTCTGAGGTCTGCAGCCCATGAGCTTGTATCGGTGACGTAAGGAATAAAGAGTAATGTTTTCCAGGCTCAGCTGCCGTGTTACAAAGATTGTGGAACAAACTGCTCTTCTTCTAAGGGCACACTGCTTTTAACACCTGTAAATGCACAGAACTGCATAGCACCAAGATACTGTGCATCTCCACAGTTCAATATTAAACATGGAATTGGAAATGTAAAAAATAGTTTTCAGGATAATCTACAGCTATTAAAAACTTTGGAATTTACACATCGTGTTCTAGAGATAACCAGTGAGAGCTGTAACTGGTGTGATCTGGGCCAAAATTCCTGTACTTGTTAGAAACCACTATGCTTTGAGCCACAGAAAGAGCTCATTCAGGGCCTGGTTCAAGAGAATGCATCATGTTGTTCCGGCTCATGAACAATGTTAAATCTTGAAACCAGTGACCAAATTTTCAAGTAATTATTTAAAAAGAAGCTCCCAAGATCTCTCAGGCCTCATATTGGCTTGGTAACATCTCAGTGAAATTTATGGCAGATTTAGCACCCGGTTATCACAGCACCTTTGCACTAAAGCAAAATACTTGCAGCGGGGAGTAGGAAAAAAAAAAAAAAATAGAGATTTAAATTCTCAGAATGATTACTGCCACATTGTCAGATCCCAAAGACAGCAGCTGTTTGCAAAGAGCACCAGGAAATAATTTCTGAAAAGAAAAGCGCTACAGAAAAAAAAGCGCTCATGGGTAAGTAGCTCTCTTCCTTCATGAATCTCATTTAGATTTTGTTTTTAGCAGCAACTGAGAAGTTAATGATACCACTCAGAGAATCACTGAATCCCTTAGGTTGGAAGGGACCTCTTAAGATCACCTAGTCCAATCCCTCTACACAAGGAAGGTCAGCTGGAACGGGTTGCCCAGGACCACGTCTAGTTGGGTTTTGAGTATCTCCACAGATGGAGACTCCATAACCTCTCTGGGCAATCTGTTCCAGTGCTTGACCAGCCTCACAGTAAAAAAAAAGTTTTTCTTGCGTTTTCCATGTGTATTTCCTTTACTTATAGTAAAGCTAATCACTGTAATATCCCAAGACAGCTCAGCATTACTGGAAATGTTACAAAAATACACTGATTACTTGCTTCAATGTCCTGGTGCATTCATGACTATACAGACATCCCTCATTACATCACGAGTCATTCAAGTTTTCTTTTAGTTTCATGTTGTAAGACTCATTTCTTACAATGCTTCTGTATGATTCTAAGTGTTGCTAATGACGATGTTTTTCACTGCTTTAAACTCTATGCAATCTCTTGTTAAAGAAAAACATAATTACTGGTAGAAATTTAATTTTATACTCTTTAATGCTATCTGAAAAAGCGGAGAGAGCTACAGATTATAAGAAACAATACAGATTCAGGTGTAATCTTTTCAACCCCCTTTCTTTCAAGTAGAAAGATAGCTGCACAGGATTAACGGTTGCATTGCTAATTATAAGAAAACAAGTAGGTTGAGGCATCCCACTTCTAAGCTTAAATCACATATACGGTTTCTCAACAAAAGATTTGCTAAAGACCTGCAAGCCCCGCCTAAAGGCACAAGACTTTAAAGATGTATTAACTGGGCATTTCTAAATCCATGATGCAAGCAATATTTAACATATATAATTAAAACAAATCAGTATTAACATTTGTCCTGGTTTCGGCTGGGATAGAGCTAATTTTCTTCATAGTAGCTAGCATAGTGCTGTGTTTTGGATTTAGTACCAGAATAATGTTGATAACACACTGATGTTTTCAGCTGTTGCCAAGTAGTGCTCAGACCACTCAAGGACTTTTTGAGCTTCTCCTGCTTGCCCAGGTGCATAACAAGCTGGGAGTACAGCACAGCTAGCACAGCTAACCCAAACTGACCAAAGAGCTATTCCATACCATATAACGTCATGCTCGGGGGGGTTAGTTCGTTCGTTCGGTTCGTTCCGTTCGGTCGGTCGCGGGCAGTGTGGTCGCAGCTCGAGCTGTGTGATCGCGGCTCGGGGGGAGTGATCGCGGCTCGGGACGGGCTGGGCACCGGTCGGTGGGTGGTGAGCAATTGCATTGTGCATCACTTGTTTTATATATATTCTGTATATTCTCTTACTATTATTATTATTATTATTACTACTATTGTTATTCTTCTCTCTTATTAAACTGTCTCTATCTCAACCCAAACCACGACAACATTGAAGACTCTAATCTCATAATATACACAGATTAACCCTTTATTTTAGGGTTCACAGTATGAAACATTGTATTTGTTCTCTCTTCTGGCTGCAAACACCCCAACTCGACACACAAAAATGAAGCCAGTATTTAGGTCCGACTTACAGATTTCAAAGTAACTTAATAGCAAGTGCGTACCTGGAACTTGCTGCCAAGAAAGAAATCAGTCTTTAATATTATAGTTGCGGATTTTTGCCATGGTAGAAGAGATTTTTGGTTTTATGGGATGAGCAAAAGATAAATTCCTGGGTTTTAACTTCTGCTGAACTTCCAGCCTGGTTCCTCTGACTGTCAAATCTGCACCTGGCATTTCGAGTTTATTCTCGGCTTTGATATTTTGCTGAGATTCTTCAGATTGCTCAGTTGAACGTATAACTTCAAACTCCACTGCTCAAAAAAGGAAAATACTTTGTTGTTATGTTTTAATTTAATTATGAGACTGGATAGTTGAAGAGAACTGGTTTACTCTTGTTCTCTAAATAATATTGCTATCATAGTGCCACATTGTCGAAGTCTTATACTGAGTAATAGAACCATTTCTGTACATAGGAGGCACGTAACTGTCCATTAAGGCTTGCTACGCTAATGGTATAATACAACAGCGTTTCCTGCACAATCCTCGCTTCATCTGTACCTGTTCATTCTCCATTAGCATCGAACTGCTTAAGAGAAAGGAAGACAGCTGGAAGGTCAGTGTAGCTGTTCAAGTCAAACACTACCTATCTGTTCAGCTGTTTTTAAACATCACATTTTACAAGTTTACCTTCTCTCCATTGTGAGAGAACATCTGCATCAATCGAGGCAATACCACCACACCAGACAACATGATACAGAGTCAGATCTACCTGTTACTTTACTGTGAAACAGTGATATAGTTGGCCGCAACAGTTTGATCTGTTTCAAGAAATCACCAGCAGCCATAAAAGCTGCAGGAAAACATGTCTGCATATGCACGATCCAAAGGGCTCAAAAACTATTCTGTGTGCTTGACAAAGCTGCACTACTACTCTCACAGAGGCAGGCATTTACTGTGGAAATCTTTGTTTGTTGTTGTCCAAAATATCTGTGTATAGTAGAGAGGACTAACTCAGAAAGTAACATCTTTGGTGGGGAAGCAGGGATACTGGTCTTAATACCAAGCAGAGTCCGTTCTGCAGCCTCTCGCATAATTGTCTGAAAACCACAATCTCCAACTAACTGAACTTTAGTCTTACCACAGGTTTCATTACGTAAGATAAGTGGAATTGGCCAATAACAGTATTCATTGCAAGGTATAGGTAATATTTACAGGTGCTTGCTCCTGCCACTTAATCCTTATTTTTCAAGGATTTTAACTTTAGATTTTCTATGGAGAGCCAAAGCAGACAGCAGAAATAGTCATAACATACTTGTGATAATACACACTACAGCATTCTATACTGGTTGAACGTTTTGAGCATGACAGGCTTCAGTCCCAGGTACTATTCAATCATAGAGCAAGCATAAGAGGTGCACAAATTGACAATCCTACGTTATTAGTAGGATAAGGTAAATTTTCATAGTAAACAGAACATGGTAGAAAGTCCAAACAAAATTCTACATGGAAGGAAATAAAGAATATTCTTGCATTATGGAATTCATTAAGCTATTGAGGGTTTATAGCTCTATGCAAGGCATGACACTGTGGCCAGTGCCAAAACATGACACTTTTAAAAATAATTTTTATGTTCAGGCTTAGCTTGAACCAGCTCAGTGTGTCTGCTCAGTTGTCTGCAATCCCTGCACTAAGTCAGCTTGGTGGCATTTGTTATTACAGGTGGCAAAAGCTCAGTGGACCCTTGTGCTATGTATGCAAAATCACGTTGTTCAGCTTGCCACCTAGTGGTTACCTACAGAGTAGAAGATAGGAAAGAGGATGCTTGAGCTCACAGAAGGCCTTTGGGTGTATTTTCCTGCCTGGAAAAGGACTTTAATCATTATAGTGCACTACCTTAGACCTCTACCACATCTGGCAGATAATAACGCAGAATTTCACAACATTTTAGAACAGTGCAGGCAGCAGCGTCCAAAAGGTACTGGATACAGCTTCAGAGATTATTTTGCCTGAACAGGAGCCGCAGCAGAATGAAATTACCACTCGTCTGTGGTCTAAATAACAGCAATGAGCAGACTCATAAATAGCACACAGTCAACACTGCTTACAGAGAGTCTGTTTTTTTAAATACTGTCTTGGTTTTGAAGGGTCTTTTGTACTCAACCAAGGGGATGACGTTCAGAAATAATGTGGGAGGCCCTAATCCTGTAGATCCAAAGGCAAAGTAACCAAGCACCAATGCATCACATGCATCCCTTCCTCTGAAGTCTTCTGTATGCTCGTCTCTTGACATTAGTAGAGGCACTACAGTTATAACTAGTAAAGGCTGCTTAGTTAGGTGTTTGGAACAACAACACAGAACACAAGCATTCTATATGGCTGTTGTAAAGTTTTGGACTATCAAAAATCCATGTTAACACAGAAATTTAAAACCATGAAATTGCAGACTTTTCCACAAAATAGAAGAGAACAAAGAACCAATACCCCAGAATTAGAAATGCTATTTAAAGTGAAATATCGTAAGAGAACACTGAATAAGGACCTTCATATGTTACTGGTTCTGCTTGAGACTGTTGCATGTGTGAAGGACCTTGAATAAAATCAGCATGAATATGCACTGGGCAGTAAAATTTAAATGCAGTAGCTTGGTTTTCACAAACAAACAATGAAAAAGCACACCTAATTTACAAGCCTGTAACTTATTTTCAGAAGTGACCTTGGCAACAAGACCTAGTAAGATCATAACTAAGAGTCTAAACTGCTTTTGAAAATGTTTAGTGTATTGAAATGCTTAACATATACTCTATTCGATGTGTGTTAACTACAGTCAGAAATTAATATTCACAATTTTTTTTTTCAGAACTAAAGAGATACAGGTAGACATGTTGTATGAGCAAACTGAAATTTCCCCAGATGGAAAATTTCATTTAAGAAACTTGTCACTAGGTGTTTGCTTATGGCTAACAGTGTTTCTGAAGGAACACCAACTCAAACAAGTTCCTATTCAGGAAAAGAACATTTAAGCGAAGAAAATGTAACTAGGGGATTAGTTAATATTTGTGAAACACTTCAAAGATGAAGTTTTATGTAACGCAGAAAAGAAATCATGGGTCTTTCTCTGATTGGAGACAGAATGAAGCCAGAGCCAGAGCGCTCTTTCTGTTTGTTAATATTTTACCAGATTCTTTCTCTGGCCAGCTTTTTACCCACATGGATTGCTCTTAGAACTGTCAGTGATGTCAAAGCTGTTGAAATTCTGTCTAGTGTGGAAACACTTAAGATAACTTTTGATCCATAAAGTGTAGAATTTCAGACCACAGAGCTTTGCAAGTAACAGTAACAATGAGAATTATAGTAAAAGAAACTTCCCTATCTAAGTTCAAGTAGTAAACCAGAGAAGTTACTTTACTTCAAAGCAGCTCAATTTTGTTCTTTGTTAGGCTACAATGTAAACTCAAATTAATACGCCCAGGACACAGTTCTGAGTGTCTGCAGAGGTGGGGTTTCTCAAAATGTACAGTGGGACCATCCACCACAACTGGAGCGCTCCTCTGGCATGGAAAAGACAAAGTTTCATCTACCCCAAAAGGGTATAAAGCAAGTGACGAGTGGGGACATTTCAAGTGCAGATACAGCTTGCCTTACGCTTTTACTCCCTCTGCACCGACCCCAGCCTCTGTTGATCCAAGGAGATACAGCTGATGAGGAGCTTTTCACATGACACCACAAAGCGCCCTTCACAGTACTGGCTTCACTCTAAATTTAGTCTTACTGTCGAACTTTAATAGGTGATGTTTGCCTTTCTTTCCAGAAAAACTAGCAAGTGTCTCCAACAGCAAGTAAAAACTTTATTAAGCTAAATTAATTGAAGAAAAATAAATTCCAGTCTTCTAAATCTTTTACAAAGCTTCCCCTCCTCCTGCTTAATGTTTATTCTAAAATCCAAAAAGGCCTTATAGCCCACAGGTGAATAGAGAAACCTTGCAAGCACGTACAGAAGCTAACCACGTGGTTGTATACGTGTGTTGTGATTTTCAGAGGAAAGCATACAACTCTTCTGAAAAGCAACTTTCCTTTGAGGATGGTCTGCATTCAGTGTTCAAGATGCGTACAATATGGATCATGAGCTGAAGTCTCCCACTTGCTCTCAACCTCTTGGACAGGGCATGTAGAAAGGAAAGAAATACAGAAGTGTATTTCTTACTAGTACTGTCTATGTATGCATCACTGATGCTTTCAGTATCATGGCTTGTGCCTGTCTACCTCTGTAGCAGGATCTTTTTCTTTCAATAATACAGAACAATAAAGACACATAAACAAGGAACTGCATTCTTTCTGAACCCTTTCTTTCTACTGATCTGCAGAATTAACACACAAATTATTAAATCCATCTCATTCCTACAGTACAAATAAAAATCAGCAGGTGGAGTAAGGAGATAGAAAATTAAAATACCTCATTGCCTTCTGATTTGCTTAGAAGCTTCCACAAGTTCTGAATTTGATGGTGAAATTAATACAGTATTTAACCATCCACTTCAGTAATTCAGTGTTAAAATGTAGTCATAAACGCTCCAAAACATATTGAGTCATTGAATTGTGTCATATACTGGAAATACAGCAAACTGCAGGGCTTACTTGACATGCCAACCATTTTAGGTCCCAATAGGCTGTTTTGTACATGAAAAAGATGAATGAAGATGTTCAATAGGTTCAGAAAATCATTCTCACACTGCAGTTGTTTCTGTTTCACCAGAAATGCCCATAAAACACAGCTACTGGTGTGACAGATTTGTACAGAGTTGAACTTGTGAAAGAAATGTTTGAATAAGCAAACTGACTTGCTTGCTTTGTTGCAAATACTTTTTTGTTACTGAGTTTTCAAGTCTGTGTGTGCGACACTTGCACCTGAAAGCCCCGTAATGGGTCACTCTGTCTTAATGACGGTTCTATCCACTGTAACTATGTGTTTGATGAATATATTAAATTCAAGCGAGTGGATTTAAACAGGAAAGATTGAATTAATTTTCCACGGCTCAGGCATGAAAAATAATGCAAGCCTCTGCTAAAAATCAGAAGCAGAACTCCTTGAAAATGTTGTATATTCTACTCTGAGGTGATGTTCTTCCAAAAAAGAAAGATTTTGCTTTCACAATCTTGTTTTCTGAAATGCAGAATTCAGTCTAGTAGAACTAAGGATACCATTTAAATGGTTTCCTGGAGGAGAAAGCTAAACAACATAAAAGAGTTTTTAAAAGTCCTATTCTTGCAATGCGGTATTTCAAGGCCTGCCTGTTTGAGTAAGAAGCTCCGCTCAAGTGTTCTTAGGGTAAATTTGGCTGCAGAGATCAAATTAAGGTTGTTCTCAAGAAAGTATCACCCCTTATTGATGTCTCACTTGTTTCATGTTGGCAGTATCATCTTTCCCTTTTCTTATTTTCTAGATCCCAAAAAATCTACAGTAAGTTTTGCAACGGTGGCTGGAAATTTCTAGACATGAAGAAACTGATGTCCTTGTAAGGCTGCCAGTGGTGTTGCATCATGCATACAGCAGCATGAAACTGCATGGCACTATCAGTAATGTTTCAAAGACATCTTTTTGCTTATCCTGTCAATATAGGCCTGACCTGAAATACTCTTTCTATTTCAGTCCCAGCCCCACAAAAAAAGCACATGAATCATGACTGTCAGCACTATGTCCATTCCAGTCCTACAGGTCTGTCAACGCACTCTACTTTGTCCCTGCAATGCACTGCTGTTGTGAATAAATACACTTATAATCCATTCTTAATTTTGAAAGCCCTTTTAAATTTTTTTTTCTTGTGTGCTGCTAAAGATGGTTCATTGCATCTATACACTGGTTTAAAAATAGAAGTAACGTAGGTTGGAAAGGACCTCTGGATAAAATGACACTTGCTGCTCAATGTATCTTGACAGAACTTGTGTCCATTGCCTCTTTTATATTCACTGTGCACCTCTAAGAGTCTGGCTCTGTCTTCTCCAAAATCCCTCACTGGGTAGTTAAAAAGCAGTAATCAGACCACCCATTGACCCTTTCTTTTCCACACTGAACAACCCAGCTCTCTAAACCTATTCTCATGTAACGTGTTCCAGCACCCTAGCCATCTTAGTGGCTCTCCATTGGACTCCAGTTTGTCAATCCTTTGTACCAGAGGGTCCAAAACCAGACACAGTACTCCAGATATGGCCTCACAAGTACCAAGTAGAGGGGAACAAATCACTTCCCTTAACCCGCTGGTTGCATTCTTGCTCCTGCAGTCTGGTGTGTGGTTAATGGCACATGAGTATCTATGTAATGGTAACAGGTCATTATTAATATGAAGCTAATTTTAAAAGGCTAAATGGCTGCCATATTACTCCACAGCTGCCATCGGATCTCAGGAATAATGATGATGATAAAAATAATCATATCAAACCAAAAAAACCCAAACAACCCACACAAGCCCCATAGCATTGCAAGAAATAATTTTTTGAATGCTATTCCTCTTATTAAAAAATAAAAATCACCTTTACTTGGAACATTCTGGAGAAATGTTTGCCTATTTATAAAGACCTTTAATGAAGAAGAGTCTACAATCCTTCCGGGGAACATACTGCATTATTAGGCACCTTAAAGTTTTTCCAGTATTATAATTTAAGGCCATTACTTTTTGTCCCATCCACAGCAGAAAGTTAGAACAGTTTTCCAAAGTTTTGCCAATGAAGGATTAACTTCATGAACAGACCAACAGTTTGGGAGACATAACATTCATCTGCAATACACTGCTCAACATAAAATCTACCATTAAAAAGTTCCTTTACAATTTGCCTGTGAAGAAGCTACACTTCACTGCACGTGTTACAAATGGCTCCTGCTAAAATTTCCAAGTGAATAACAATACCTAGTTCACTGTGCACCCACAGCATATAACACGTTATGCCCATGATCTCACTTTTGGCCTTTAGGTCTTAGCACACTAAGCAGTACTGTAGCCATTAACATGCCACAAAAATAATGATTAAGCGAGCCAAATTACAATTTGATCTAACAGTTACGTGGCAACACATGAAGTGTGCAATTCTCAGACAGACACTGTCATATCCGCCCCAGATAAGATTTAGACTATGTCAAAACAGAATGGTGTTCGTATTTTCCAGGAGTGTTTAACAGAAAGGGAGAAGTATTTGCCACAATGCAATTAAAACCAGAGAGCTATATAGGCATTCCTCTTAATTCTTACTTCTGCTGGCAACAGTGAAATTCCCTTCAAGTAACATATTAGATCTTCAGATTCTGATTACAGGACCATGTAAAAAAATTAGTGGAAGGGGGCAGGATCCACTACTGTATTTCCATTCTTCTAGTAGAGTCAAATACTGTGACTACTTTACAAAGCATGCTCACCTTGGTCAGTGTTCTCTTGAGGACTGAAAATAGAAGTGCTCAATTCCATTTCTGAGGTTTGCCAAATACCTTGGCAGAAATTATGTGCTCTAGATGAAGAAAGACAGACCTGCTGAGCTTGACCAGGATTCTGCCTGAATGGCTGCCTTTGAATGATCTTTGATGATGCATCTGCCTTTCGTTGCTCTGGACCATGATCTTCAATAGGGAAATACAGCTGACCCTGTTCAAATTCAAAAACACTCTTACTGACATACATACTTTTCACATCAAAGACACCTGAAAATTAGTTAAATCTCACAGTGGCATCTTGGTCATCATAGTGGCATCAACTTCGTCCCAGCCAAAACCAGGACAGAAAGATAGAAGGTTTCAGCAAGACGGAAGACAAAAGAAAATTATTATTTTTAATTTTTAAAGGGTGTACCAGAAGATTAATTACAAGATCATGAAAGTGACTGAGAAACTCTAGTTTATTAAGTGTTAACAAATACTATTTTTTACAGGAACAATGCATAACTTAAAAACATACATATATTTTTAAGTCTTCCAGGAGATGACTGTTGAACAACTGCAATTGAAAAAACCCAACTGAAGGCAAATTACACTGATGATAAAACTGCACTCTACCTCAGCGGATGATAACTCTGTTTCTTTCTCACAGCTGCTTGGAGCTGCTTCTTCCTTTAAGCCAGGGCAGGCAATTAGAGAAGAGATCCTTGAGGGATGATGTTGCTCTGCATACTGCAGCTCCTAATACAAAATACTACATTAACACAAATAACTCACAGTCTCAAAAAATAATACATTTATAGCTCAGTTTGCTGTTACACTGCTAGATTTAAAATAATAAGTTATAAATAATATTAAACGTGATTATGTTCCCTTTAGGTCAACAAGGCCAGACTACCCTCCTAATAAACCTCTTACTAAATCTGTTCAAAATCTGCATTTCTTGCTGCTGTTACTATCATCCTGCTTGTTACCCAAGTTCACATTGTCAGGGTCATTCTTCACTGTCTTTTCCCATTATTATATTACAGAAGAAAAACTCCCAAAGAAGTCCTAAAAAACCAGATAAAATAAAGCAGCTATGGAAAATAATTTGTCAGCAACTAAAAAAACCTAATTACCCACAAAGTTTCACCAACTTTCAACATGTAGCAACTAAAGTGAAATTTGATGAAAAGTGAACTGCTTAAGCCCGTCAAAGGAGATGAAAATAAACACCAAAGTCTTTTGCTATATATTTAAGACTAAAGAAACAAAACATGAGCCCATCATATAAAGTAACTGACACTGAAATTCCTGTAGGTGTGATAGCAATAAATTATCTCAGTTTTTGGTAAGGATGATGATCTTGAACACAGGAGCAAATGTAACCTGGCTCGTAAGGGTGATTACCTAGAAGGTAAACACCCAAACTAGAATAGCAGTGTTTGGAAGCTCAACCTGGAGCTCAGCTTCAGCACAGGAGCTGAAGCCTCAGCAAGCCTGTTCTGGATAAAGAGCTGGAATGAGACTATTGAAGATGAACAGCTTGGACGTAAGAATGGCTATCCTTCTTTCTAGTCTGGAAAATTTCCAGCAGTAACAGAGATGATCCCAAAGGTTCCAAACCTGGGAAGATCATCAACAGTAGCCACTTCAACCATGACCTCCAAGCAACCCATGAGCTGAAGAGGTTGGACTACTACTCCTGGAGTTCAGCACACCATCTGGAAACTCAGAGTCAAATGCTATCTCTCCAAGAGCCATGGACACATTGTATTTTTAAAATCTATTTATTCTTACAAAAGCAAGAACAATCTCTAAAGATTTTAGAAAGAACATGGGAGACAAGACATGTCAGAAAAATAGCAAACACAGTACCTAGCTCATTAAAAATAAGGCAAGGGAAGACTGGGATGGATGGGCAATGAATATTCATCGGTCTCAATTTAAGAGTCAGCTAGGTTCTAAGATGAGTTGCAAAAGAAAGAAAAATTAAAGAGGTGGAGAAGAAAAAAAAATTGTTAAAAAATGTGGGTTTGAATTGTGGCAATTCTGCCCAGACCAGGAAATCACTTTTATATACGTTTACTATAAGCATTTAGCTAATCCTTTTGAGACCTCAATCCAAGCAGTGTAGATGAAACAAGCAGGCTACAAAAGGTCTACTCAAATGTTTTGCTGGACCCTGATCTCCTTTGTAAAAGTTATTCCCCATGTTAGAGCTTAAGAAACAGTTCACTGAATTGAAAGTTCAAGTGAACAAAGGATGCCAAGCTTGTGACTTTACGTTAATAAGATGTTCACAAGCATCCTCAAAAAATTATATATCCACAAGCATGCTAAGGCATTCCACAGTAAGCTCACCTGTTGACAGACCGCTTTCCAGGCTTTCTGCACACTTTAACAGCTGTCCCACCTGTTTCCTTCTGAAACCCCACAAGAGGGAGATCAGAATCGTATGCTCACGACTGTCACCTAGGACCAGAGATGACTTTTTCACCTTTGAGTTTTACAAGAAGTTTGCAATCTCCTGCTCCAGATGTAGCCCATACCACTGTCCCATAAGATGTATCATTGATATGCCAGAAAGGCTATTTATTTAATGCTCCCCAATTCTTTTCTCTGAGGACCTTCCTCACACTACAACAAGATGCTAACACTTCTTGTGACAGTGCTGCTGTGACAGCTCTTGATCAGGTCCTCAGACTGTCAGTGCTGCATTCCCAGACCTATTCTCACAGAGCTCGAATAATTTGAGCCTTCCCAGTCTTGGAATCCAGATGGCTTTCACTATATGTCCTAACTAGTATTTTTAATGCCCTCAATAATACTTTTGATGTCAAAAGAACTTGATTAGATAAATTTGGTAAAATATACCAGATTCTCCACCTGACGTTTCACCTACCTGACTGACCTGTTACAGCTCAATTTCTGTTATCTTAGACTATCTGCTGTATCTAAGGAAGGATAAGTCTCCATTAGCTCTGTAAATGTACACCAGATGGCATTCTCAGTTTATCACTGTCTGATGGATGGTTTACAATGTTTGCTCACACTGCAACCTTTAAAACTTCTTCATTGACTAATGGGCAGTAAAGAAGAACAGGGCCTTATTTTCACTCAAGCAATCTGTTCAAAATTGGTTCTAATTGACCATACCAGCATAGCCTTTTGGACTTCAGGCAACCTTTCTCTATGAAACATGAGTGCCCCTCCTGTTGGAGATCTTCTGCTAGGAAGAAGCAAAGACAAATTCAAGCACCTGTGATAGGATGTCAGAACAGAGAGTTCTTCCCTGCCAGGTTCCCTTAGAACATATTCCAAAATGTTGCCATAGATTCAATCTGATGGATTCACCTTAGCCAAGAAACATGCATACCCATTTTCTTCCCCAAATATATGCCTTGCCGGGCTGAAATACTGCTGCATATTTTGGATGCTTGGAGAGCCCTTTCCTTTCATATTCAAACGTTTGAGCCCTCCAAACAAGTATTACCTGCTTTTACTACCGTTCTTTATCCAAGAGAATAGCAATCCCTGTGCAGAAGCTGGGTAACTGTCTGCCTAAAGACTTGATAGCAGAATACTGAACTTGACCTTATCAACACTTGTTCTCAAATTTAATTGCTGGATCATCTTTGCACTTCAACTTTTTTACACTATTTTCTTAAGTCTTCCAACCCAGAAGTTTTTGTAATTAGTCCAGCTAACACCCCTCATGGCTAATCTGCAGTGCTGTTTTACAGGAAAAAAAAAATATCTATTTTTGGCAGAACTAAATTGCAAATTGAAAGTGCATCATCCCCAGATATATGGCTGGTTAAATTAGTACCAGCTGAGTCACTTAATCTTAATTTATCTGATTTGTAGCACTTACTCTAAGCAACTACAGAGGTCAATATGTGGGTTTTTTTCTTTAACACCATTCTTAACTGTAAGAAAAATCAAATATTCCTTAGAATTTACTTCCACTGGCTCTTTTAAGAAACTCAACTTTGTAATTCAAACTGTCTGGCCAAATGGTTCATATTCTTCGCAATACACCTAGGCCAATGAGATAATATCTGTAGAAATTAGTGTTAACTTCAGGCTCATAAAACAACAGGATGGCATGCTCAAAACAAATATGTGGTTATTCTGTCTTATCTTTTTAGAATATGCCTAGATGTAAAAACATTTAAGACTTTTTTAGAATGTGTTCAGATGGTAAAATTTTCAAGTAAATGACTGACAGTTACGATTTCTTAGTGCAGTCTGACAACATGATAGGATTACGTCCTGTGTAGTTTCATATTATCACAGAGATCTTAGTATGTAAAAAGAGAAACATTAAACTTCAATCACCTAACATATTCCTGGATGAACCTTAGTAATCCACAAAAAGGCTGTCAATCTGTTCCTGATTTCAGTTAAGAGAAACAAGAATGCATAAAGAGAGAATTAAAAATAAACAGAATCCTCCAGAGGAGATTAGTTTTAATTCAGTTGATTTTTCCTCATAGGCAGAGGAGATTGACGTTTCAGTTTAATAAGCTGGAGGCTGACTGCTTGGAAAGCAGCTCAGCAGAAAAGAAACAGGAAACCTGGTGGACTACAAGTTGAACATCAGGCAGCAATGTGTTCTTGAGGCCCTCGGCCAACAGCATCCTGGGCTTCATCAGAAAAAGCAGTGCCAGCAGGTCAAGGGAGGTGATTACTTCTCTCTACCAAGCACTGGTGCAACCACATTTAGAGTATTGTTTTGACTTCTGGGCAACTTCTGGACTTTCCCTAGTACAAGAAGGACATGGACATACTGGAGCAAGTCCAGCAAACAACCACAAAGATAATCAACGAATAGGAGCACCTGACATACAAGGAGAGGTTGGGGAAGCTGGCTTTATTTAGCTTCCAGAAGAGATGGGTAAGGAGTGATCTTTTCAACCTGTATAAGCACCTGATGGGGATGGTGGGAGGAGGTAAAGATTACTGAGCCAGACTCTTCTCAGTGGTATACAGTGGAAGAACAAGAAGCAATGGCCAGAAAGTGAAGTACAGGATACTCCGCTTAAGTATAAGGGGGAAAAAGAGAATCCCAAACCCCAACCTTTTTTACTGCAAGGGTGATCAAACACTGGAACAAGTTGCCCAGAGAGGTTCACAGAGGAAGTATTTTCCCAACTGAACTTGGTTAATAATTCTACTGGAGTTTTATGCCTTGAAGCAACAACCTCAACCTTTCCGAAAGAACATTGTTTACTGCCCTCAAAACTACAACGACAATCAGCTGCTCTGACTCAATCCTCACAGGAACAAATCTGCTGATCAATTAAGTAAAGTACATAGTGAAATCCTGACTATCAAAGTTACTGGGAGGTCTGCCACTAACTACTAAGGGAGCCAGGATTTAGCCATTTGTCCCTCTGATGAAAGCTGCAATTTAACTATTAAAAGTTGTATTTAATTACAAAAGATAAGAGACAGATTAATAATATATCCTGCTTTCATATATGGAAAATGTGCTATTAGAATAATTTGGACATGGGTGCTTTAAAATCCCACCACTGTGGATACTTGGAAATATGCTCACTGATTAATCATTTTTGAGTTTATCTTAGAACATACTGCAAATCCTTCAAATGGCCTATCTTAACTTATTAAACTTTACTTATTAAAATCTTTACTTATTAAAAACTAAGCTTTATGAAACTCACACTTGTAATTCAGAATTGCATTTATGCTGCATTAAGACGAGTGTTTCTGAAATTCCTTGGGTGAAAATCATGTTTTAAAAAGTTAATTTTGAAGTCCCAAATATAACCCTTTAAGTAAATGGGGTAATATCTGGCTGGTGGCCAGTCACTAGTGGTGCTCCTCAGGGCTCAATTTTAGGGCCAGCTCTCTTCAATGTTTTTATCAATGACCTGGACACAGGAGTTGAATGCACACTAAGTAAGTTTGCCGATGATGCTAAATTAGGAGGACTCATTGATTCCCTTGAGGTAGAGAGACCTTACAGAGAGATCTTGATAGATTGGAGCACTTGGCAATCACCAACCGTATGAAATTTAACAAGAGCAAATGCTGGACTCTGCACCTGGGACAGTGTAATCCTGGACGTCTGTATAGACTGGGTGACAAGAGGCTGGAGTGCAGCCCTGCAGTAAGAGATGTGTGGGTTTTGGCTGATGGCAGCTCAGTGAGTCAACAATGTGCCCTGGCGGTCAAAAGGGCCAACCGTGTCCTAGAGTGCATTAGGCACAGTATAGCTAACCAGCTGAAAGAAGTGACTGTCCCACTATACTCAGCATTGGTGTGGCCTCACCTCAAGTACTGTGTGCAGTTTTGGGCTCCACAATATGGAAAGGGTATAGAAATACTAGAAAGTGTCCAAAGAAGGGCAACAAAGATGGTGAAAGGACTAGAGGGCAAGACTTAGGAGGAGCAGCTGAGGATACCTGGCTTGTTCAGCTTAAAAAAGAGGAGACTGAGGGACGACCTCATTGCTGTCTACAACTTCCTCATGAGGGGGGGCAGAAAGGGAGGTGCTGATCTCTTCTTTCTGGTGTCCAGTGATAGGATGTGAGGGAATGGCTTAAAGCTGCATTAGAAGAAGTTCAGACCGGATATTAGGGAGAAATTCTTCCCTGAGAGGGTGGTCAAGCATTGAAACAAGCTCCAATTGTTGGAGTTGTGATGGCCCAAGCCTGTTGATGTTCAAGAAGCATTTGGACAATGCTCTTAGATACATGGTTTAACTTCTAGGTTTCCCTGTGTGGAGTCAGGACTTGAAGATCCTCACTGGTTCCTTCCAGCAGGATATTCTATGATCCTATGAAATTTTCCAAGGTAACAACGGAAGATTTGAGCCAAAGTCAGTAACGGACATTTAAATGCAGAATTTTAAGGAAAGTTATATTCATGGAATTAGAACTGGCTTAACTGCTCATTATCACTAGATTTCAGAGAGCATATCATTACCTGTGTTGTAAGCCTGTGCTGTAGCTGCTTTAAAGCTGATAGCTGACACTGTGTTCTTTTGACAAGCTCTCTTGGAAAAAGACTACCAGAGGCAATACAAAGTGTGCAGTGCTGAGAGCTAACAGGATGCCAAAGCCCTATAAAGGAGAGAAAATACTGAGGAAGGCATTCTCTGTTGTTATTTTGTCACCAATATTATATTCGCAGCAAGTGTTTACAGTAGATATAAATGAACCACAGAACACAGGCCTTCTCATTGCAGACGGATTCCATGTTATGCAGAAATGGGCCTTGTGTTTTTTCCCTTTGCTTCACTGCCAGAGCAATTGTTGCATGGAACTTAAATGTCCACCATGGTATCTTCTTACATTTTATACACTTTTGATTCAAGTTTACTCTGTAGTAAGCTTATTCTGCTTTGTCTTCCACTTTTATAAAGCGTAAGTTTTTATTCCAAGAAATAAACTACCTCTTTTCTGCTCTCAGAAGTCTTAGTTCAATTTCCAGTTCCCACACTGACATCTATGCACCAGGGAGTCCTTCATCTAGGATGTTCATCAACAAAAAGTTACTGCCTACAGACTCTCATTGTTCTATGTTAGCACCTCCTATCACAGGATATTCTTACTTGCAACAATTAGCACCACAGTCTCACACAAACTATGCAGACCAAGAATCAGTCAGGTCCAGCACTTTGTTTTTATATTAAAGCCTAGCTCTCTCCAGCTCAAAGGATGAACAATTCCCAGGCTTTATTCTAAATATATAAGCTAGCACTCTTTTGTAGAATAAATTTACCTTCCTTTAATAGCATTCCAACTTCTGCCCTGAGTCTGTTTCCCATTTCAATCAGCTGCTGCTTCTCTTGGCTCAGAATTGAGATTTTTCTTGCTGCTTCCTTCAGTTTATTTTTCATTCCTTGTAGAGTGCAGCTGACACCATACTGAAGACCAACACTAGGACCTACATCAGGTAACTGTTGTCCAAGATCTACCACCTTTTCTTCAAGGACATTGGATTTTGGCCCCTGAAAAAAGCAGACAGTGCTTGTAATTAATATTTTGAAAGTGTGGTCTGCAGCTTTAGAGATTTGTACAAACATGCATTAGAAGCCAGTTAAAGAAAAAGTGTAAAGTTGAAGTCTACAGCCCATTTTTGAGGGCCCATTTTCAAGATTAAACTGTGGACCAAATCACTGCAGCAGTCTGGGACATTCCTACAAATACTGTTAACTCGAAATATAAAGTAATACACATATGAAACATATAAAACACAGTAGAACTGTAAACTAGAGAGTAGTTCATTTTAAGATAAAATGTGGAAAAAACCACTTTACAGCAGATAGCAAGCTACCACAAACCCTTCTTTGTGTGATCATCACGTGCATACATACATATGGGGTAGGTATGACTTAAAACATTGCTTTAAAGAGAAAGGCTGCAGAGTGAAAAGTAAAGATTCTACAACAGGTTTTGTCTCTGCAAACCTAATGGAGTCCACTTGCACATATACATTATGATAAAGTATTTACCCAAAAGATCACAGCCTTGTTTCTCAAGGGCTATATACTGTCCTCTTTCAGCCCTCTTGCTACAGAGGAGACTTTTCAATATCCATTTAAATCACTGAACAAATCACCTCCCTATAGACTTTTTAAATACTATACATTGCCACAAGTATCTAAATACGTCACATACATTAAAATCATTTTACAAAACTCTTGCTCATCTTTATGGTTACTCTTCTTAGGTAGAAGCATACTACACTGTAATTGTGCAATCCCAATCAATTTTCAGCTAAAGCACCCTGAACACTACGATTCAAGGAGTACACATTGAAAGGTGTTATCCATACCGACAAAAAAAACCCACCACCATTGCCTTAGTGTGTCATGCAACTCCCATTCTCTTATTTCTTTGGATAGTTTTACCATAAAAGAGGAGACCCTTGAGAACATACACAGAAAGCATACAGGTCCACAAACACTATGGGGGAGAAAGGTGGAGAAATTAGTGCAGGACTAGATTCTAAAAATATGAAGACAGACACCAAAGTGAAAGAAAAAAGGAACGCCATTTTGCCATACATGTAGCAATTTGTATCAAAGCAATTAATATAAGCACCCACAAATTATTACATTCTACCCTCATCATATGAACAGTGAAATTAACACACTGAGGCTAAACATAAAGAGAGGTCCAGGCAATGACCAATAATGGTACCACTGGTTGTCACACTATGTTACCACCTTCACTGTGCCAAGAGGCAAAAGCACATCACATGGCTGGGGCAGGAATACCATTTGCTTAAGCTTGTATTTCTCGTGAACTTTTCATAAAAATATTCAACAGCATTACACAGAAGATTTATTTTCAGGTGACAGATTGTAAGCTGTAGAGTTAGGAGTGGAACTCAGAAATCTTTTTATCTTTAGATCCATGTCCAGAGTACATCACTACAATACAAAAGACAGGAAAGACAGAAAAGGGGGGTACTAAAAAAAGGTGGGAGAAAAAGCTCTCCTCAGAGCTGACACAAAGAGAAAAGAAGACAAATAAACATACACACAAAAGTCTACGTGTGCTTCCAGCTGCCAGTCCATGTCTAAGAGGGCTCGTTAGGCACTAAGGAAGAAGTAAAGCAGACAGCAGAAACAGACAGGAAATCATAGTTCAACATCAGTGAAGACAGCATTAACTACAGTTCCAGCATTTTGTTCACTTCCAGTTTTGGCCTGCACATCTGCTATTTACTATGTACCTATACATATAAAGCACAGGTAATTCAAAGGATTAATCTCAGGCACAGAGAATGTTCAGTTCCTATCTTACTGTCTCCAAAGCAAAGCCAATCTCTACTTTTCTTTTAAGGCTCTACCCCCACTTAAAGAAGTGTGTAGAATATGAGAATGCATCTTGTACAGTATATTGTAAAACATTATTGCAACAGGAAAGAATAGTTAGTATAAAATTCAGTTTTCACCTAATTCTGGAAGTGGCCAAAGAGAAAAAAATAAATCTGTGTTGTCTATACTGACACACCATGATTTCCTAAATATAATCTGACAACAGGAACAAACAAATCTCCCTCTGTATTCAGCAAAAAGATACAACTAAGATTAAACATGATCTCCACCTGGTGGGTTGTGCATGTTTTCACACAAGGTTCCCAAGGCTCCAAAGTTTTATTTAAATGTTGTTGTTTCAGTTCTTAAAGCTCTTAGCTTTTAATGCAATCAGTGCTCTCATCCTTATTTATTATTTAGCTATTATTTCAATTTTCTTGAACTTAGATGGTTACTGATGAATCTTAACAGTAAGATTAAAACATGAAACAAGTATTGCTAGATACTACAGACTACTTGAAAATTAGAAAACCCTTATTTTTTAATTGTATTTTAACCTATCTTACTTTAGATCCTGTTTACTACACCATGAAATTTCAAGTGGAAAAAAAAATAACAAGAAGGGCTTGAAAGATTAGGAGTGACTTGTGCTGGGGAATGACTAGTCAAAATTTATTCCCTAGAAAGAATGAGCATAAGTTTGGCTGAAAAGTAATAGCTAGCTCTCATCTGACACTCATTACGAACTGACCACATAAGCATATATTGCTTCAGTTTTTAGTATTTATTCAAACAAAAATCACATGCTAAATATTTAATTCCACACACATGTGCATACAGATATTTTAGGTAGTTCAAACCTCCTCATACTTTTTCTGTGTCTGGGTTTACTATACATTCCAAGTTAGTTGAGCCGACTCTGATATTGCTCAAAGTGGTTCCAGTTGAAATGTTGTTTGTGCACAATGAACCTAAAAGAAAAGAGGATAATACGAATGTATATGTATTTACACAGAGTTTAGGCTTTCATAGCAACAGCTGCTTCAGAACTTTATCTCATTCACTTACATGCATACCACTTCAGGAGATATATTGTAAACAGAGCTGAAGAAATATAAAAAATAGTACACCCTCACAATAAGCAAACATCCGTCAGCTACAAAATACAGAAGTGACTAGAGATGACACATTAGAAAGGTCAATTCGTGGGTAAGGAGCACAGAGAAGTTTTTATTTCTTCCAATACTGCATTATTTAATTATCCTTGGGAAACTGGCAATACTGAGAGTATAACAAGAGTAATTAAGACACAGTAGCTTCAATCACAGTTGAAAAAAATCACCAATAAATGGAAGTTAATCCTGAAATACTCTTTTTTTAGTTCCAGTAAAAATGTGAGTCCAAACACATTGATGTATATGGACAAGTCAGGGGAAAGAACAGATGACTTTCTGGAAACCACAATGCCCCTCTAAGTTACTCTCCCATTGTCATAAAAATTCCAGATTTAACATTACCATCTCTTTTAGTGATTGAATATAATCTCCATATATTTTTAAAAGGGACACAAGAAAGATTATTTTAGTATTTCACCCATAAAGAAAATGGAAACACATTTCTGAAAACTTACATTTATCAGCTGACAAAGATTATTGCTTTTCTTGGACACTGCTAAACTCTAGCAGCAGTAAATCTTTTACACATCGGACTATAACATCTTCAAAAAACAGTGGACCAACTTTAGCTGCCTGTGACAAAAAACTATGCTTGAATTTGTTTTTTTATTTAAAATTAGCAGAGGTTTTGCTTTAATTGGTTATTAATGTATCATTGTTAACAAAGCTAGAATATGCTTATATTTATTAAAAATGCCTGCACACTGAATTAGCTCATGATTTCATGCTAGCGTACAAATGACAGTTTAAAACTAATTCTGCAAACTGGTAATGCACAGATCCAGTCTCACTGCAAAATTGAAACAGAGAAGCATAATGACAGCAAAACAGTCGGTACAACAAAATACCTTTCATCAAACCCATCTTATTTTTTCTGAAATACAGAAAACAACGTATGCTGACTCTGGAATAGTTTGAAGCAATTAGAAATTAAATGTTTACACAAATGAGGCACAGAGATGTATAAGGCAGCTATCTACCTGCACCTACGTAACTGGTAAACGGTGCTGAACACAGGGCTAATTATTCCACAGAAGTAAAAGATGTCCTTGAAAAAGTTACACCTTGCCTATTTTTATTTAAAAAGCAAACCAGATCAGAGCTGCTTATTCCATTACCAAGTGACAGCTGACTTCCTTTCCTCTTTCCTCTAGACTTCCGAAAGTCACAAGAATGTTTATGAAGAACAAATCCAGTTTTGTTTCTAAACAGGCCTGCATGAGAGCCAATCAAAACCAAACTTAAAAAATTTTCAGAAATTTACTATAAAATGTATCTAGTTGTAATGACATACCTTCTGCAGCTTTTTTTTTTTTTTTAAATGTTATCAGCTTTGACTTTCCCATGAAGGATAATGAAAAAAAAAGTAAAAATGAAAAGTGTAAGACATGATATACTGACATGTTTCTAAGAGATGCTAAAAATCACCCAACCAATGTGTGACAATATTTGGTAAAAGGATGCATTTGAAAGTATTATGTATTTCTAATATTGACATGTTTTTAAATTTTTAGCTTCCTGATGGAGCCACCACAAAGACCACCCAGTAAACATACTAACAAAGAAGGGTATCTCATTACTGCTTAGCCATAGTAGGCAGGACAAAGAAAGCTTGATGAGTGCGGGACAAAGAAACTGTGTTAAGGAACTGACCTTCCAGGAAAACAGGAGTCAGCAACAACTATACCTGGAATTGATGCCCTATGGACACTTACATATCTACACCAAAAAGGTATAAAAAGTAACTCTCTACCTACCCAAAATGAGCCTCTCTGCAAGGCCCTCTCTGCAAGAGCTTCCCTGCACGCGATCTCCTGGACAGACTGGACCCTCACTGGGGATGCCTGGCTGACTCCGGATTCAGTGATGTGGATCATCTTTAAAGTGAGACTTTTTTTTTTTCCATCTTCAGTTAGCCCCACTTCTGGGAGCGGTTTGGTGAGTGTCAAACCAGTAGCACCTCACATGATGTATTTATAGGCATGTGCCCAGGTATGGTTTGTAAGAAAGACAGACCTGTTAAAGCAGGGGCCCATGCAAATGATCAGAGGGCGAGAATACCTTTCCTATGAAGAAATTTTTTTACAGTGAGGGTGGTGAGACACTGCAACAGGTTGCCCAGGGAAGCTGTGGATGCCCCATCATTGGAAGTGTTCAAGGTCAGGTTGGACTGGGCTTTCCGCAATCTGATCTAGTGAGAGATGTCCCTGCCCATGGCAGGGTGGTTAGACTAAGCGGTCTTTAAAGGTCCCTTCCAACCCAAACCATTCTGTGATTCTATCATTCTATATACTTGCTTCACTAATTGAAATTCTGTAATAACTTGTAATATACATATATTTGCTTTATTCTTGCAATGTATATATACATTTGCTTTCCTAGTGGTAATTCTGTAGTGACTTATACTGTGTGTGTATTTGTTTTTACTAATAATAGTTTTGTAGTAATTGGTAATAAAGAAATGCTCAGAATCTCAAGACTGCTATGTGCTTGTGTATTGTGGAATCCTGAGAACTTCACGGTCACGATCTTTACACACCCATGGGTCGGCTAGCCCTCATAGGTCGTGACCATGACTGCTACACTGACATTAACTGAATTTAAGAGTTCAGTGGCAAGAGTCATCACCTTGCTCTGCAAGCTGTCTGTTTTCTGTCAGAGGAAGAGAGGACAACTCATCAAGACTCTCCATTTCTTTCCTCATTTGTGCAATAGCAGCCCGAAGGTTAGCATTCTGCTCCTGCAGCTTTTTTATTTCCAAGGTAGGAATATCTTTGCTCAGAGAACTTTTACCATCATACTGAAATACCTGTAAAATAAAAGTACAACACAATAAAACCTTTCATTAATAAGCAACACATATTCTCTCCATACCACCATACACAGAGATACTAATACTTTCAATCCATGAACAGACTTGGGAGAAAAGAACCATAGGAAGAAAAGAAAGAGATCTGCTTACTCTGTGGATTTGCCAAGGAAAAAAGTGCTATGATGAGAACCTGAGACGGGGGAGGAGGCATAGATGGGGAAGAGGGTGGTCACAAGGTGGCTCTGTCTTATCACGGTTGTTCTTTGAAGTGTGCTATCACTACCTCTTCCATGCATGGGTAACCCATCTCCTTAAAGAACTTACTGGCTCAACAGCAGTCCCTCTTCTGATCTGCCAAATTCTTGAAAATGTCATTGGAGATCATTTGTTCACAAGAGCTTAAAGAGGTTGGACATCCTTTGCTAAACTGGAAAAGGGGACGGAGTGTATGGATTACATCTAGACAACCTGGACAATAGGAAATATCTAGAAAACCTCTAAGGACTTCAGTTCTGAAATAAGTAGCAATGTCTTCCTTTTGCACATTAGTTACAGATAAGCTAAGAGCAAACAAAGTAAAAGGAACATTTATCAGATAATGATTGAAGCTCTGCCTTCACAAAGGCCTTGAGGCCTGACTTTTGGAATAATACTTGGTGAAAGTATGAATTGGTGAGCAAATGTTCTTCTTATAGACTTCCAGAACTGAAGAGGCTGACAAAACCCAGGTTGCCAAAGCTGCTTTAACTACCGTAAAAAAACTAATTTCTATTAGTAAAATACAAGCAGCTTGCTCATATGGTAATACATCCCGGAATCTTTCTATTTCTTAAATTTTTGAAGGGGAATCACTCAGTGTTTTCTTCATAGGCTGCACACAGCCTTAAAGAATATCTTAGAGATTTAGTTTGGAGAGGTAGGCACGGGAAAGACATGGATCTGTTGGAACAGGTCCAGAGGAGGGCCCCAAAAATGATCAGAGGGATGGAGCACCTCTCCTATGAAGAAAGGCTGAGACAGTTGGGGTTGTTCAGCCTGGAGAAGAGAAGGCTCCAGGGAGACCTTATTGCAGCCTTTCAGTACTTAAAGGGGGCTTGTAAGAAAGATGGGAACAGACTTTTCCCCCTCTGTTTGTTTACAATTAATTTTGTACCGAAAAATTAAGAGGAAAGGTTCTAGTTCATAATAATATTTTTTTGTTGTTGTTTATTTGTTTTTTAAACAGTGGCCCTTCACATAAATAGGAGACAAAAAAGGTTTTGCTGAGATGGGTAGCGCTTACCTTACAGGCCAAAAGTGGAAAACAGAGAGAGTATATTAACAACAGAAAGAAAAGCATGACAATGAAAACAAAGTCTTGCCAACAACAGTAACAGGCAGTTACAGTGGAAGACAACCATGAATGTGAACAGTAAAAGAAGAACCCCTCCCCAACCCCAATACTCTTGGTGTTTGAATGATCAGTTTGCAAATCAGTCCAGTTTCAAATGACATTGGAAAAACAACTTGCTCCATAGTTTTTGCTAGAAGCCTACTTTTGTCTAATTTATTGTAAAAATTGCTTGCAGGAACTATCTTACTGAACACAACACTTTCTGCATTCAGAAACCACTAGGCTTGCTTAACACTGCTTCTTATCGGCAAGCTCTGATAGCTCACCGTTGAGCATCTGTAGCTGTCCAGTAGGGCGCACTGCAGCACACTGTTTACTTTTCATTCTTTTACAAAAGACGATTTTCTACTCATAATGCATTGTCCTCCAGCATGGCTTCAAATCAACATTACATTTGCAAGTTTGAATGGCTTTTTTTCAATATACATATTTTAATAAGTAGCAATGAAATGAAAGCTAGATTGTGATACTAAAATAAAATACATTACCTTAAACAGCTGGCAAATTAGTATTTTGAAGCATTGTCTTAAAATTTTAACTTTTCAACTTTAAAATCTACCCTGAATTGCAACTAACACAGTGCCTCGGGAACATTCCAGAAATGAATTCTTCCAATTCTGATGTGCCATGATGGTACAGTACATTGTCCTGTTTTGGAGCAACTGCCTACAGCCAGCTTGCTCCTTTTGCCAGTGAGCTAAGGATCAGAGCCATAATGAAGCCTGTGACACCTAACCCATGTGTATTCCAGGCTAGACACATCTACATTTTGAATTAAACATATGAAACAGATTAACTGCTTGCAAGAAGTTTAGTGGAAACAAGCCCCATAAAGTTGTCATCTCAGAATTAATTCATCCAAGTCAAGACATTAAGCATTGTCTAACCTGTTTCTCCCCTTCAGGTAAAATACACTGATGAAACGATGCTTGTATTGCCTGTTCTCTCTCAACAGTCAAAGCAGAAAGAGCAGTCTTTACTTCATGCAACCTGTAGTCTGTTTTCTGTAGATCAGCTTCAACCTAGGAGGGAGGGAACGGAGGGAAAGCAGAGGACATCAGTATCTCAAGGACAAAGGGTGTAGAGATTTAAAAAAAAAAAAAAGTAAAGCAAAAGAAAAGAAGGAAATCAAAGAAAAATATATTTTAAATCACAGGACAGGGACTTAAAACACATCCCTTTTGGCTCCATCAAAACCTGCCTTCACAGAAAAATAACTTGGCTTCATTGTCTCATTTTCTGTAAGTGAAATGGACAATGCTGATTCATCTGTCAGATGTGTTCCTATGTTACACCTATTGATGCCAATGACTCATTTTGGGAAGACAATGGTAACATAAAACACCAGAGTAAATGCCTGCATTCTAAACTTTGTAAAGGAGTGTTTCTTCTGTACCCGTGAGTTTACTAGGCAACTGGTCACTGAGAATTATTGTTAGCCCATTGTGTAACAGTCTCTAAACAATAAACCTGTATTTCATTTTCCGGAAATAGAAGCCTGTACGCTTCACAAAATAGGACTCTTTTTCCCTATGCAAAAATACTCTGAGTTTTCCAGGATTAATAGAATTCAAGCTGTATTGTGATCTGAAAGTCTTTTTGGCCTGGGGCTATTCTAGCTAAGAGGGATCTTTCTTCTTCTGCTACAATGCAAAGAAAAAAGAAGTGACATCTCTCAAGTTGACTTGACTTCATTATAAGGGAGAGAAGGCCACTATTAGAGATTGTCCATGAAAATTAATCTGGTCTCTGATCAAGTATGTTTGATGAACTGCTGCACACAGTACAGAATTACTGTTTTAGAGATATATGAAGGAAGACCGAAGATGTGCTTCCCTTGAGAAACACCATGAAGGAAAAACTCCATAGCTCTCTATGCAACAGATGGTTTCTAAACTGTGTTAATTTGAAATTCTCACCTGGCTTTGTGTTAGATCCTCTGATTTCTGACACCAATTACTTTCAGCATTCTCACAGGGCTGCTGCCAGTCCAGTTCTGCTTGCATTTTGCTCTGTTCCAGAATCCATTCTTGCTCAGCTGCTAGAGCCAGTTGTTGTTTATACCTATGATACCCAGAGCAAAGCTGTTGGTTTCAGCAGGGATGATTTGTGTTTGGGGCTTTTTGTGTGTGGTTTGTTTTTTTTTTTTAAAACGTCAGCCTTGTTTGCTCTCTTCATTTCTTTCCTTGTTCTACTTTCCAAATTATCTATTTTATTCTATTCCACTTTAAGTATTTTACTGGACAAAGCATTTTAATTGCTTGGAGCCCAACAGTCTCCTAGGGTCCATTTGTATGGGTATTTAGAATTATCTTTGGAGGTCACCTCAGCTCAAGCAGCATAAACTGCTCTTTAACACCAATACTGCTCTCAGCAATACCATCCACAGCATGTTTCCCACTTGCTAATAATGGAAATGAGATACAAAAGAGCTAAGAATTAAAAGTTGTTGGATTGTCAGGGTAAAATTCCTAAGCTCAATGGCTGCTGCATATACAAACACTGAAAACACACTTCCCACTATGGAAAGAGAAGTGATAGGAGGTCCACAAAATGAGGCAAACCTCATATTCAGAATTTAAGGGCTTTCAAGACAGGTTCAACTGTCATAGGGCTGAGCTTCTAAAACACAATGCTGTCAAGACTTCAGGGCACTCTTAAGATTGGTTGTAAATGTCACTTTAGATAAAGTCTTAGTCTTCTTTACCATTCTGCATCTTTCTGGAATTTGGCCAATTGTGCCCTCAAGTTCTCTTCATGTCCATGCATTGACTGAATTTGGAAATCTTTAGAGGCAGACTCCTTAGAAAGGTCAATCAGATAAGAATCTTGGCCTGGTTTTAGCACTACAATTACTTCTTGAAGTCTACATACAAGAACAACCCCCCTCCCATGTCAATATATACTTGCTTAAGACAATTAACAAAATGTGTGATGCAATTTTGGATATAAAACTATTCAATGACTTTTTTTTTTTTTTTAATTAGGAGCTCAGAGGGACTTTTTCGTTAGCCAACTGCATATTGTAAACCATGAATTTCCACTCGTACAAAATGCAGGCCGCCTAAGCAATTCTTTAGTTTCCAGCAGCCTTCTTGGACTGGCAGCTGCCTCTTCCCAGGCTAGCTATGAAAGAAGTTCTTTTCTTCTTATGTGTTGTTCCTTCTTTAGGTTCCCAGATACTTTCTTTTCCCTGTGACCTCATTTTCTTGTTAAACCTTGAGGAAATTATTCTTGATTATATCAATCATAAAATCAATGTTTATATGCATATATTGAAATTTTGCTACAAATTTTGTTGCAATATACATAGATCACGGAACAGTCCAGACTGGAAAGATCATCTGGTCCAACCTTTCATGAGAAAGGGAGCCTAGATGAGATTATCTAGTACCCCATCCAATCATGTACTGAAAACCTCTAGTGATGAGGACTCTACCATGTCCCTGAGGCAGTTGTGATTGATTGTTCTCACTCTAAAAAAAAAAATAAAATCTTTTTTACATTGAGATGAAACCTCTCCCAGTGCAACTTGTACCCATGACCCCTTGTCTTCTCCATGTGACTCCTTGTGAAGACAGAGTGCCTTGACCCTCTTTGCAGCCACCCTTTATGCACTAGAAAACTGTAATGAGGTCCCCCCAAGCCTTCTCCAGGGAGAAAAGACCCAACTCCTTCAGTCTTTCTTCATAGGGCAGGTTCTCCAGCCCTTTGATTATTTTTGTAGCCCTCTCCAGTCCATCTGTGTCTTTTTTCAATTGTGGGGACCAGAACTGGACACAGTACTCCATGTGTGGTTATCTGTTTAACCATGAATTACTGTGAATTTGTCACATAAATAAAAGTTGGGCAAAAAAGTGGTAACTATGATGTTTTGAATTTCTCTCATCACAGCTCATGGAACAAGATAAATCAAGTCACTCACTTTCTAATAAGAGCATCTTTCTCTCTTAAACAAGCACTGTGACTCCATTCTCTTCTGCATAGCTCAATTTCCAGACTTTTATGTCTCATCTGCAGTTCTCTAATCTGCTGCTTCAACTTTTTTAATTGTTTGACTTGAGCTTTTTTCACTGAAGCTGGCATTGCATCCTCTTCCTTGGCAGCATGAGCTAGTTCTTCACGCCTAGAAAACGTAGAGATGGAATAAAGTGAGGTTTCAAGCAACATAAGCACATTATTTTTTAGTACTGTTGATTTACTTTCCTATCAATTTGCTTCGAGCAAATTCAAAGAATCATTGTTGGAAGCAGTGGAAAGAGAATTCAATATCCGCTTGTCAGTGGAGCAGGTTGCGGGGAGGTCTTCTGCATTTTTTTTTTTTCAAACTAAGAATGCCACTATTTAGTTGGACTTAGGACCAGGGCTGAATCCTTCTCATACCACTGCAGAGAGTTTAACTCCAATTTATCACAGAACTTTAAGACTGTGATTAACACAAAGAACAACAGTATTTCACCTAAGTATGGGACCAGGATGATCCTAAAAATGTAGTTGTTTTTTAAGATGACTCATAGAGAAGCCATTTTAAGAGGTGAACCATTCCACTCAACATACTCTTTTACCATACTGCAAATATTCTTCACAGTAATTGAACAATTGAAAGAGCTCTGATCAGGTGGCCCAAAATAAGAGATTGTAGGAATCCATGGAGCAAAATGTTTCCTTGAATATTCAGTTTTCGTTCACAGATTAATTTCCTGAACTTGCACTCACAAAAAAATAGAGACTGGGTTTAAAATAAGACAGAAGTGAGTTGTTAGAAGAAAAGACCACCAAAGAGCGCCTATAGAAAAGTAAAATCTAATGGTAAGTAAAAAAGGAGACGTGCAAGTAATAGTTCTATAATGTTCTTACCCTCCAAAATTGACCTGCATATAAATTTTCAAAATGTATCCAAAGTTTTGGATATAAAGGACTAAAGCAAAACAGAAAGAACAAAAATCGAAATACAAGTAAGTCTTATTTCTTAAGTTTGAACTAGTGATGAGTAAAAGATAAAAGATAAAACTCCCAATAATACTCTGGTTTGCATGAGTTATTTTCTGTCACTATATTCACAATCTGTAGCTGCTTGAGAAAGCATAAAGTTGTGACTGAACAGAACTGGACTTACTGGATTCAAATCAAGTGTGTGAAATATGAGACACCAACACTAGCTGCACATTCTAGAAGTAGGATGAACTAAGTTTTTTCATTATATTTACTACTTGAAAGAGGTACTCCATTTTGCAGTAAAGGCAGAGGGAACCACTGTACCATTAAAACTTCTGAGATAAAATTTTATTTTTAAAGTGAGACAGATTTCATCCAGAAAGAATGTAGCAGAATTAACCTGAATCCATACAACTTAGCAAATATTTCATACAAAAGATTACCTCTTTCTGTTGTAAAAATATACATTACCACCATCCCAAGCTGTTGCTAAAATAATAGTATGTGAAGAAGAGTAAGTTGAAAGTGTTGTGGACTTGCAGAGTCTGTGAAAAGCAGTCTGTTTCGATCATAATCAAAATTATACAATACCAAGCATCTTTCAGAGCAACAAAATCGTTGAACTGGTTTTCTTTCTCCAGTCTCAAATCAAACATTTCCGCTGTTTGCAGTGATTCTGGTGTTTGCGTTCCAGTTTCTCTCTCCAGTTCTCTGGTCAGCAGCTTCACCTTAGAAAGGAGGAGAATAAGGCTTAAGAATTCTAATGAGAGACTGGTATAACCTAATTTTTAAGAGGTCCAGAGCCCTTATACAGTTGAAGTGTTAGCATCAGCTCCATAAACAAACAAAATAGTATAGAAAGTTGTGAGGTCGGGTTTTTTTAGGGGGTGGTATTTCATTTGTTTGTGAGTTTTTAAATTTGTAATATTTTGCATGGTATAAGGATTAGATCAACAAAGCACTTTAAAACACCTTCCCCATAGGCTATAACCTCTGCTGTTATTTAGATTTCTACTCCCATATTACTGCTAAATATCCTTTTTTGTATCCTCTTCTTATATCTATTACCTACATTAACATTAATCCTGCATGCTACCCCTTCCTATCTCTGCCTGAAGTTCCTTTTACACAGTTTTTCATTCAGTGACTTTTTCGCTTCCCCTGCAAGTGGCCTCACCAATAAATGGGGGAAATGACTGCAGATGAACTCTCCTTCCCTTGCTCAACACTTCCACCACCAATTCAGGTGCAAATAATAGCTACATATATTAAAAAAATATATAAAATACATAACTCAATATGGACAATATATTTCCTAAAGAAAAAAAAAGATTTAATAGCATCTAGCACATGAGGCCTACTGAGAGCTATTACACTCAGATGCAGCTGCAAGCAGTATTAGAAACTGAGACAGTATTAGAGCTATCTAATCAAGCATGCGAGTCTGAAAATTGCAAAGATTAAAGGTTTTATTCTGAAGTACTATCAGAGTTATACTGCATATCTCAGAGTAAGCAGTATGGGCAAATTTACATTTAATAAATATACATGCAGTTGCAGTTCCTTTATTCATACTGAGTCAACAGCAATCTTTATAGTCAAGACTACAATAAGACAAAATGGTTTTATGTCCATTACTACAGCAGTGTCCTTTAAAGAAGGCCCAAGACAAGGCAAGAAAACAAAACCAGAAACTAAACTCCAACTGTGTCAACATTCAAGATGCAGGAACCCATGGATACCACTAATGGCCGGGCAACCCTTTTGCTACCCTAATAAACCTTTAGCAAGTTACCTTGTAGTTTGTAGTCAGAAGTAACTTATTTTACTAGACAAAAATCAACACAGCTGGAAAAAGCTGACAATCTTTTAGGCATACAAGCCTTCTTTCTAAAAGCTTGTCTGCTTTTCCCTATGCTATCAGTTGGTTTAATGTGAGGATTTCTTCCCCCTCTACCTATACACCTCGGTTTGTTGAATTATTAGGCTATCAGTTAAACCACCACTGAAGCAACTGAACACAGACACCAGAGAACCAAGCAAGTAATGTTGGATGATGATTAGCAAAGATGGCACATGCAGAGAATACAGATTTTGGAAGAGTGAATTCCTCATTATTAGCCTTCGAAGGATGAGATGGGCCTTTCATAGAATCATAGAATCATAGAATGGTTAGGGTTGGAAGGGACCACTAGTGGTCATCTAGTCCAACCCCCCTGCAGTGAGCAGGGACACTGCTAACTAGATCAGATTGCTCAGAGCCCCATCCAACCTGGCCTTGAATGTTTCCAGGGATGGGTAGTTTTTGGTTGTGTAGGAAAAAACCACAGTCACTATAAACAAACTTAAGATTCATACCACATATATCCCTGCTTCCTGCTGTCCTGGAAATGATTAGTTCAATACATAGGTGGAAGAAAAACAGCAACAACAAGAGTCTCATCTTTTCATGCGTTTCTCACAGAAATTACTTCAGATTATAATAAACACATTCATTGAGTAAAGGGTAAAAGCTTAAAAGTAAGTTACCTTAACTTCATGGGACAGAACTAAGTTACCCATTTCAATCGTCTGCTTTTGAAACTCACATTCCCTTTTTTTCATTTCTGCATCAAATTTGGCTAGCAGTTCCTACAAGGGGAGTAATAGATAGGTAACACCAGTACCTGGTGGAAACCAGTTAAGTTAAACAAAACAACTCACTGCTGTTACAAGGGAAAGTTTTGGCTGCAGTCAAGAGGCTTTTAAAGTGAACACTTGCAGAACTACTAAAAAGCTAAGAAACTACAGCCTTACTGAAAAGTTGTCAGAAAAATACTACCATGTTTTCCACTACAAAGATAAAGTGACAAGAAGGCTGCCAAGAGATAGGAAGCTATGGGAAAGACTTTTTTTTTTCCCCTATACAGCTATTGGATTTCAATTTAAAGGAAAATAATCAAAACAGTCACATTGATTTTCATAATTAGGAAAACAAAAATCTGTAGCTAGAGGAGTTTACATTTCAATCCCAAGTAAGAACAGCACTACAGAATGGTCATTCTGGTGTGAAATTCCTCCAAAGTAACATTGCAAGTTATTCAGAGTCCAATGCATGGAAATCAAAGACACCAGTGAATGACATCACTGAAGAAGTGTGAAACTCATTCTTCACACCACCTGTGTGTATGAAAAACTGTTCATAGGGGAGCCATGGATTTTCCAGAAATTAAACTGTTGCAGTGAGCGGCCATTCAGGTGCCTAGACTGGTAAAGTGTTAAAAAAAGTGTTGATGAGATACTACTTCCAGGAGTTCAACTGATAAATCATGACTGAAACTTGAAAACAAGAAGGTGGGGCCACAAAGTATTTTGGCTAATGGATGAAGTATCATGTGTTAGGTTAAGGGGAATGACTGCAAAGAGACCCAATGGCAAGCACGTAAGATGTGCTTCTCTAACTGTAAGTCATAAACAATGGAGATATCACACTGGAGGAGGAAAAAAAAAAGTTAAGAGAAATAGCATGTATTGGATGATGTGCCTTTATGCTTGTGGAACACCAGTTAATCACCTTTATCGTTACAGTTTAACCACAAAACACACAAAGATAACTTCTAAATCAAGCCAGTTATCAAGTATTGTTCAAGTGAGAAGTGCTCATACTCCTTTGGGTAGGTTCATAAACTGTCTTTGGGAAGCCCATGGATAAAAGACTCCTGGATGAAGATGGATTATTTTAGCAGGACTGCTATACTGAAGGCAGCGAGACTTGGATTGGCAGGTGCTGGGTGCAAGATGTAAATACTTAACAATCTCTTTTATTGCTTCCAGTTATATTACATATTGGTTTGGCTGACAGGCCAAAAATTAACCATTCTAGTTCCAATGGTTAAACACATTCATATGTAAATAATTAAAAGTCATGTTAATATCAAATACATTTTTATACAAAACCAAAGAAGGTTTTGTTGTTCTTTAAAGTTTGTAATATAGAGAGAGGTGGTATAATGCCCCCCATAGGTATTACAGTTGAAGGTCAAATGTAAGATTATTCCTTTATGATGAAATGATAGCAAAATAAGAGGCAGAAGGGGGGAAAAAAAGCCTCGTAATCTGGAGTATGATAAACTTGCCTAAGGTTGCCTCTGCTTTCTAGATGCTGACCTTTCCTGCAGTTTCAAGGTTAACAAATTTAGCAGTGTGCTGTCTACATAAAATAATCTTACACAATCTCAGATTACTAAACACTTTCTTAACAGTTCCTTACAAGGGGCAGCTGCCAGACAAGCAAAGCAACAGCTCCTACACAAGTAGTATGTAATTTTCTAAACTGTCATTACGAATCTCATCAATTTAAGCAAAAAAAAGGCAAAAAATAAAAGCTTATGCAACTACAGCAATGTTAAAACAGAACTTTCTGAAAAAAAAAAACCAAACTTGAAAAAAGGATTGCTAGATAGCACCGCAGCAACCCAACATGGCTTCTCCATATTCTTATACCTGTTTCTGACAAGCAAGTTCTCCTTCCAGTTCTTGGAATTTTCTCTCCATGTGATGTTTCAGGGACACATACCCCTCATGCTGATGATCTATTTGCCTGTTCCTTAGAGCTATAAACAAAAATAAAACAAATTTACATTAAAGATCATCTCTGGTAACCTAATGAGGCATACATATGTAAAATTTTTTGAACAATAACACATAACTATAAATACAAGATGCTATAATTTCCCTAAAGAAACAGTTACCATAAAGTTTTTGTTCGTAAGTCAGTTGAAACCCATTATAACAGTATACGCCATTTCTCAAAACTATACTTCAAAAGTTAGTTGCATATGAAATATCGAGGATCTGCTGAAAAGTAGTGCAAGATTTCCACTTAAGTATAACAAGAGTTCCTCCCCCATCCAAGAATTTGTTACACAAGAAGACATTGCAAAACAAGGGCTACCCAGCAGAAATCTGAGCTTTTAGATATGTTTAAAAATAGAAGCAGCTCTCTATCTTTTCCTCTCCTCCCCCAGTATTTTTATTTGCTATCAACAAAAAAAGTTTCTCTGAGATACAGTGGAACAATACCAGTAAGGCCAGCATTTCAAACAAATTTGAAGTGCTGATACTGCTATCATAACCAGTAAGTTCTCTAATGATGCACTGAATCTTTTCAAGCTTTAGATTCATACCTGCGAGACTCAGCAGGCTTGGTGCAGCCTGTTACATGGCCAAACAGACCTGGACTGATACTGTGCACTTCTTCAACCTTCTGATTACTTTCAACTCTATATTACAGTTATTTTATGCAACTGAATGATTGCTGCATTTGGTTAGATAAGGTTGATCATACATAGGCAGAACTGCAAACTAGAACTGGATAGTCACAAACAACTAAATGCATATTCACTTTCATATTCTGCTAGGTTTTGCTTTTAAGTTTACACTTCATCTGAATTAATCTGAATCCTGTAGCCAACATTTATGCATATAAATAAAGTCTAACAGAAGTGTCATCTCAGTGTAGTCTAGATAGGCACTTTTATAACTCTCTTGTTCATCTCACAACTCTCCAAGGCAAGGAGGATCAGAAGAATAATTGCTATACTGGTCAGTGATCAGTATCCAGCTCAGCCTGGCAAAGAGGCAATGATGGGTGTAAAAGACTCGAACTCCTTCCATTCCCAAAGGACATGCTCCGTATAAAATTCCTGAGCTGGCTTTAAAAGAATTTGCGTATGCTCCAGAAGCACAGTAACATCAATCAGTTAGTGACCTTTGAGGAATTCCAGATCCACGTCCAGATCACTTCTCATAACTAAAAAAAGTTATTTAAAACTTATCCAGCCATCTCCACTCATCTAAATGCAGTTTGATCCAGAACATTTTACAGCAGTTAGCATTTTAAACAATCCAAAAGATCCCATTATATCTGAAGACAATAGTTACATTAAACAAGAATTATGTGCAGACAGATCCCAAGAAATATGTGTTTATTCCCCCCCAAGGTTTAGAAGTCTATGCAGAATGATAAAAGTTAGTGAGAATGGCCAAACTAAACAAGTGCATTGCTTTAGCTATCTTCACCTTTTAATTGGTTGGTTTAATCATAAATCTTGGTCCTGTGACTGGATATATCCCAACAGACTACTTTTTTTCACAGAGGCCTATCAGAGAAGGTAGGACAAAATGAATTTAAGAATGCAGAAGCCCAACTCCTATTATAAGATTAGCTTGCAATGGCTTCAAATAGTTGAAAGGCCGAATCATTTCTGCTGAATCCACAGCACAATACAGCAACTAATGTCTAGTAACCTTATATAATATTGACAATGGTTTATATCATTATCATAACAGGGCAGACTTGACCTGCTCAGAACACTGGTTGGGAGAGTCCCTTGGGAGACAGTCCTGAAGGGCAAAGGGGTCCAAGAAGGCTGGGTATTTTTCAAGGAAGAAGTCTTAAAGGCACAGGAGCAGGCTGTCCCCATGTGCCATAAGACAAATCGGCGGGGAAGACGACCGGCCTGGCTGGACAGAGGTCTACTACTGCGACTAAGGAAAAAAAGGAGAGCTTACCAGCCCTGGAAGAAGGGGCAGGCAACCAAGTATAGGGATCTTGTCAGGTTATGCAGA